GATGTCGATTAGAGATTATGTTCCTCATCGAGCTTGTTCTGGAGGCTCTACCAATGGAGTTTGATCCCATTGTTGCTGCACTCAACATCAAGTCTGAATTTGTTTCTCTTAATGAATTATAGTCATTTCTTATAATCGAGGAAACTCATAAGAAGTTCAAGAAGTAGGTAGCTGACTTCGTTTATGTCAATCTCACTCAAAGTTCACCGCAATCCGTAAATCCTCAAATTTCTGAATCTAGTGAACCTCCTAGCTTCAACTACCAATATTGTGGTTTTTATGATGGTCGATTCAGAGGCCGTGATGGTCGTAATGGCAACCAGAGCTATGTCTAATGTCAAATTTACTACAAATCTATACATGATGCAAGCTATTGCTAATATCGTCCTTCCTCAAATTCCCGTGGTGGTTATGGCGCCCGTCAACCCAATGTGCGAACACAACCTGGCTACAACGCACCAAATCCTTTTCTTACCAACATGTCGTGACCTGTAAAACCCTTCTTACACACTCAATACCTTGCTCTCAGACCTCAAGCTTATGTTACAGTTGTTGTCTCATATTCTTTTTACAACCATACTTGGTATCTTGACTCAGGTGCAAAACACATGTCATACCTGATTCTTCCAACCTTATGGATTCAATCAATCTCTCTCTCTCTCTCTCTCTCTCACAACCATACTTGGTATCTTGACTCAGGTGCAACACACATGTCATACCTGATTCTTCCAACCTTATGGATTCAATCTCTCTCTCTCTCTCTCTCTCTCTCTCTCTCTCTCTCTCTCTCACACACACACACACACACACACACACACACACACACACACACACACACACACACACACACACACACACACACACACACACACACACACACACACACACACACACACATGTTTTTAGCAAACCTATTGTCTTTTTAAAAGTCCTTACTATAGTAGATACCACTTCCTTCCACTGTTCGTGTCTTTAACTAAAACAACCTCTATTGAATATGTCAATGTTCTCCCAATTGTTCTTCATTTTCCTCCTTATGTCTCTCATGATATTCATAAATTTAGCCAACTTTCTAGAGGTTGTACATCATTTGTAATGTTTAATCTATGAGTTGTCAGAGTCATGCCTAAGGCATTTAAGCTACAACAACTCACGTTTATGTAAGAATATTTAACGTTTATGTAAGAATATTTAATTAAATAAATATATAGTATGACTCATATGAAAAGATATTATGAAATAGTGTTATTCAAATAATACGAAGATGTGTTATTCAAATAACATGAAAGAGTATTATTCAAATAGCATGAAGTGACGTTATTTAAATAACAAAAAGGTTGCTATTCAAATTAACTTGTGAAGTGATGTTATTTAAATAACAAAAGGGTTGCTATTCAAATTAAATTGTGAAGTGATGTTATTCAAATAAAGTGAAAAGGTGTTATTAAAATAAAATGAAAATGTATTATTGTGAATTAGCATGAATAACATCTATAAAAAAAATGTGTTATTGTGAATGGGTGTGAATAACGTCTATGAATAGTGAAGACTTAACGAGAGCAAACACTATAAGTGGAAAAACGGGTTATATTCCTTCAATAATAGTTTCTCTACCAAATATCCATCAAAAAAGAGTTTTGAGAAAGCACAAATAGGAACAAGATAGACTTGAAATATCAACGCATTATTTCAGACTAATCTTGGATTGCCCCATGTAAAACTACTCATGAAATGACCTTTCTAATCGAGTCCAATCATTGATGGAATGAGCAGAAAGGGTCGTAAACCACGTAAAAACATTTTTTGTGAGGGAACTATGAAAATATCTCATCCTTAGGTTCTCATTATTATCTATATCTCATACCTTGATCAAATACCGAGAAATAAGCTCGAAGGTAGACTCATTAGTGTCACCAGTAAATTTTGTGAACTTAGGGACTTTCCAACCCCTTGGCAGTTCAGTCTGCAACACATATTCTGAAAAGGGGATTGTGTAATTTAGCCTATGCAGAACCATGTTCACCCCATTTTGCGCCATTATCCTATCGACAATGGTTGCAAGGTTATTCTCTCCCAACAGATTTCCTTGTCGAACCTGATGCACGACTTGATCATGTCCTGATTTTGATTAACTATCATGACAGGCGGGCACTCGACTTCCATAGGTATCTTTTGTTTGACCACTTGGGGCAGAACGTGCTGTCCTTGGTTTACTATGTTTTCCTCTAAAATCACCCCTTCGTTTCTAACTTGCCTAACAATCTGGGGTTGTATGATGGTCAAACTTGGGCTAGAGGAGCGCCAAAAAACAATAAATTCGATTCGTTTGAGTTACCAATTATTGGTAATTGTGATTCGTATTTTAAATTAATGAGTTAAATATAGTATCCATTTGTTGTTTTAGAACATTAACCATATCATGATTACTTTTATCTATTTGATGTCTCATAGCTAACACTGAATTCGTTGTAAGTGTTAGCATTGCCTGAGAGCCAAACCTCATTCCCATATGGGGTGGCATGGTTCGACCCTGGTTAGTTATGGCCAAGTGAGAATCCAAAATTGGCAAATATGTATTCATAACGTTATCAGCCAATGTCGACGGATTGCTATGCTGACTTGCCATTACTGTTGTTGGCATTCCATATCATTCACGCCCTTAGATGGACATTATTAAACTCGTGGCGAAATGCCTGAATTCTGGCGCCACAATTGGTGTAGTAGTCACTGGGTGACTTTGGGTTACTAAAGGGGAAAAAAACGAACCTACATGTATTACTGATGGCGCAACTGTTGTGGACGATATATCCATAGTACTAGCGATCGAAGGGATTGGCCCAGTCGCCGTCACAAAGGTCGTGCTTGTCCTAGTGCATTTAGAAGGCTATTGTCTATTGTTGTTCCTAGGAATTATCATTCTCCTGACGTATCTCCTCACAAGTTTTCTAACTTCTCTCTTTGTTATCGTACCGCTCCTTATTCTCATGCACACTCATACAATAAGAAGTTAATGGAATGAAGAACTATAATTTTCAAAATGGAAAGTAAAAACAAACGCAAAAGTGTCCCATTGCACGTGCCAATTTGTTTAATGGAAAATTTGATAAACAAAACAAGTTTATATTAATACTTAAGTGATTAAACTCGAAAAAATCCCGAAACATATTTGTGTGCATTTAAAACTTTGAACATGTTATTGTCGAAATCGAAGTGTAATGTTTAAGGAAAAACAATGTGAATTCTAAAAAGACTTAAAACATAAGGTTTTGAAGATAAAAGTAATTGAAATCAAAATGTATAAACTAAAGACAAAATAATAAGAATCAAAATGTAAAGGAATGCAAGAAAATACTTGAATGTAAAAATGCTTGAAATTTATAAACATGGAATGCATACATACATTTCATTCACTCATTTCTCAACTACGCAGATACTTTAAGTATATAGAAATTTTAGTACAATTGTGGACACTTACAATATAAGCAAAAGTCTTATATACGAGTTTAAAATAACTACCTATAATGGTCAAATAAACCTGTCACGACACGTTTCACTTCCATGCAACTATTATCTTCAACAAGCCTCAACGTGTCTTCGAGTAACTACTTGCTTCAATTCAATTCCCGCTCTTTCAACATCATTCAAATATCTTAACTACTTTTACTAGTCACCGAGAATTGACTTAATGATGGCGAAATTACAAGAATCAACAATGCTACGACAACACACTTTGTAGTACTTTCCACATGCGGTATCCAAGTCAAAATTGTTTCTATTGTAATGATAAACTCCGACCTTAGCCAACATAGCATAATATTCAATCAGACAACAAACCAACCAAAATACTTGAAAATTACACTAAGTCCACAAACTCTAACAATGCTTTACGACCTTCAGCTGTTTCAATCAGCATCATCATGTATAACTTTTGACATTAAATCAACTCAAGACTTCTGATTGACTACATTAGTTTCAGTTTTCTAACATGACATGCTTAATGGTTTCACTTGTCATTTATAGTTAGGTCGAAAAATCTAGAATAACACCATGTACGAAGCATGTATTGTCGTCCTCAAACATATAGAACAATATACACCAAAGGAAGTGAGCCTCAAATTCAACTCTTGGTTGAGTAGTAGATAAATAGAGAATTCCATACCAAAGATCTATTGAAGAAATTTATAATAGTTAAGCAATACACATCTCAAGAAACAAAATGAAAAGATTAACATCTTGTCAAAATTGGCATACACCCGACAAACAAACATGGACAAAACTTTCATCTAAGAAATATTTAGTTTCGTAAGCACACGTATCTCATAAGTGAGTAATATATGACAAAGACGATTTCAACACTAATTGGATGACACTCATCATCGAGTATATTAAAAAAGAAGAATTCCTTTAAAACTAAAAAAAACAACAAAAATGTGTCAACTAGTCTTCTCTTACTCTATAATCCTGAAATGTTTTAAAAATAAAGATTTAAACGTCCACCATACTCGTGATCTACTTTTGCCACTCCGAACCCTTTTTTTGCCCACCCTAAAATTGATAATTTAAGTTCTTAAAATAACTTTTTCTTTTCCAAAATAATTTTAAAATTCCTAATTTTGTAAAAACAAATTTGGATTAGCTGTTAGTATAAAATAATTGTGCATGTCCTTTAACCATTTTTTTCATAACAAACAAATGATTGAATAATCAATTTCACAAAATATAATATAGTATTATTTTCTCTAACTAAAATGTTTTAAAAACCCCAAAGGTGAAAGATTCCCATTCTTTTTAAGCTAGTTTATCATAATAATAACAAGGTGCTGAGAATTCATTTTTCCAAATCAAACGCAACAGGGAAGGTTGAAGGAAACGCAATTCAATTCAATTCAATTCCCCTTTCCTTCCCTTCCCTTTGCATTTCATAATTCAATTACCTGTTTTTCGTGTTTCCAAGAATCGTATAATCAATCAAGCAACGATTTTTCTTTGATTTTGATCTCATGGGTCAAGCTTTTCGCAAGCTTTTCGATACCTTCTTCGGCAATACCGAGATGCGGGTAACCCCTCTCTTCCTTCTCAATCTCACTTTTTTTGAAATTCTTTTATAAATTAATAATCTAAGATCAATAAATGTCTTTTTTTTCCCCGTAATAATGCTGATTTTGTGCTTGGTTATTATTAACTTGTACCTATGATTAGTAGAGTTTAATTTCCCCCCAAATTGTTATGGTTATAGGTTTGTTTTATTTACTTGTTCAATTTGATGTGGTTCAGGTTGTCATGCTTGGTCTTGATGCTGCTGGAAAAACAACTATACTCTACAAGCTTCACATTGGAGAAGTTTTATCCACTGTTCCTACAATTGGTTGGTTTTATTACATTAATAATAAAATTCATTGTTTCCTTTTCTAAAATTTCTTAAAAATGCGCATATCTTGGTTTTCACATTTTGCACCTACTTGTTAATTAATGCTAATGAATTTGTTTTTGGAAGTTATAGTGGAAGATTTATTAGCTGATTCTTGATGGTTATCTACTTGGTTGTTGTTTCTTTGTCTGTTTTGAATATGTTTGTGAGTTGAGTCGTTTTATTGTCCCCTTGATTGTGTGATGTTGACATATTATTATTTCGGATTTCTTTTTGATGGAGATGGTTTTCATTTGCATGATGAAATAGAGATTTTGGCTTCTGTAATTAATTATACTGAAAACATCTGTGGCTGGTTTGCGTGAACTGGATAGATGCAAAGATGATAACATTTTGGTTAAGCGAAGGAGAATTATAATTGGAAATAGCCCATGCATTTCTTGAGGCTTATCGTTGTGTATGCATTGTAGGTTTCAATGTAGAGAAGGTTCAGTACAAGAATGTTGTTTTCACCGTTTGGGATGTTGGAGGCCAAGAGAAATTGAGGGCACTCTGGAGGCATTATTTTAACAACACGGATGGTCTGGTAAGCATTGATTTCTGTGTAACTTGGTTTGTTAAATTTTCCTTTTGCTACAAGTATTCATATTTTCCATAGGACTGAAAAGACAGGATACTGGTCTAATGAATCAAGGTTGATACTTATGTGCACTTTTATGTAGATCTATGTTGTTGATAGTTTGGACCGCGAGAGAATTGGGAAAGCAAAGCAAGAATTTCAGGTAATAAAGTAAAAAACTTACTGCACACACACCATGTTATTCCCAACAGACTTTGAACTTATCTATGGATTATTTGCAGAATATCATAAATGACCCATTTATGCTCAACAGTGTCATCTTGGTGTTAGCCAACAAACAGGACCTGGTATGTGTATCTTCTTGACATGTGTTCTTTTTTTTCTGAACGACCTGTAAAGATTAAACCAAACTCTAAATATGTGAACTGGTTGACATTTTTGAATACTATTAAAGTTAAGAGAATGTGCTATAATTAATGCATTTCCCAATCCCAACATTGCAAATAAGGCAGGTTTTATATCAGGCATTCAAATAGTTGCAATGTTTAGGATTTCTTTCCCCATATAATGCTCGTTGGCATAAAAAGAATTATGCACCTTTTGCTCATGCATTTGTATCCAAAGAGATATTTGTATTTTTCCTAAATTTCAATGTTTATCTAAAGAAATATTTGTATTTTTCCTAAATTTCAATGTTTATCTCAAGAAATCTTTGTATTTTTCCTATATCTCAAATTTTCCCTCCAAGAGTTTTCTGCCTTTCTCTTTTCCCACATGTGTAATTTGGCAGGTACTCCCTTTGTCTTACTATAAGTGTCTCATTTGAGTTGCGCACTGATCTTAACAAAATATTAGTATGGTTGATTTCAATGAATAAATAACTCATTTACTATACTACCCTTAGTAATAATAGTTAGTGGAGTAAGTTAAGTGAAATTGAGGTACAATAAATAAGGAATTAGTAGAGTAGAGAGTACTAAATAGCACAATTCTTTTTCCCTGCCAATAGCTGATAGGTAGCTTGGATCATAAGAGAAATATGTAACTGAGTTAGCTTAACAAATCTATATCTATATCATCTGTGTAATTCCTATAACTGGTCCTCCGTATGATCATTCTGACTCAATTCTGATCTTGCTGCAGCATCTGTATTGATTTATTTTTTGTTTTCTTTCTACTATCTAAAAGTTATAAGGAAAAAAACATGCTTTAGGACATTCCAACCTGAGTGCAATTTCTTTAAATCTTGAGGTAGGTTAGTGAATACCCCCAAGTGTAACTTTTTCAAATATTCTTGTGTCCTAAAGTTATTGAATATTGGCCATGGAAGATATAGTGGCAGTTTTTGGGCTTGCCGCATTTGTAAATATCGGTCAATATTGCAGGTTTTTGGCTCTGCGCCACAAAGCAGGCTCGGTGGGATTTTGGCTCTCCGCCATTATTAAGACCCATTAAGAGACAGACCCAAACAGAGGGAGAGAGAATGCTGAGCTGGCAAGTTAGTTAGAGATAGTGGAATGAGTAACACATGAGATGGAGTATATAGAATGTGTGGGAGGAAAAGATGAAGGGGATTCAGAATCATCTTGTACTAGAGGAGCTTTGCTCTGAGATTATAGGGAACTATTATTTGTAATAGTTTTTTTTATTATTAAAAATGCATTCTCTTATCTCTTGAATTGGATTACTAACAATTGGGCCAACCTGCCGAATTATTAGCTTAGAGCCCATGTTAGAGAAGGAAGTATCAGAATCATACAATCAGATTGTAAATGAAAGACTGCCAGAATTTGTGGGTGAAGACCCTGGATCATCAAAGCAGATCTGTTTTTCAGGAGCAGAAAATCCATTCATCTGATAAAGTGCAGTGGGCATTCATCAGAATGGAGGGTGTTGCTTTGTTGTGGTTTTAGTCTTGGTGTCAAGACAACTTCGATGCCAACTAGACATCATTTTCCATAGTTTTGATGAGAAGATTTGGGTCTCAGATGAAGAAAACCATGCGGAAAAAAAATCCAGAAACACCATTAGAATCTCGGACTGAGACGGAAACAAGAAAAAAATCTAGGTTAGAAGTGATAAGAGTGGCTTCTATTGACAAAGAATAAACAAATGGCAATGTCTTGTCACGTCAACGTAGATAAGAAGCGCACCACCGAGAATTTGAACTCATGCTGAAAAGATTATTGAAGTAGTAGCAGAGAAGATGCAAATCACAACATGTGTGAGGATGGAGAAACAGAAGTGAGGAAAATAAATCACAAATCAGTGAGAAAAAGAGAGCAAACAGGTGGGATCAACCAACAACCTCCGGCCGAGCCGCCGGAATCAGGTTCACTGACTAAGGCACCACCCGGTCCAAAGCTACCGGAACTAGACGCTCCCTTATGCGAGGATGGGTTTTGGACCAAATGACCACCAGATCCGCCGGAGCCACCAGCTCGACCAATGTTGTTGTTGTGGTTGTGGGGGGCTAGCTTCTGGGTGATTCAAGCCCCGTCGCAGCTTTCGGTGCTGCCATAATCAATCGGGATCGACATGGGCCGAGATTACTGTGGTTAGTGTGGGATGAAACTGCTAAAGCAATGGTAGAGAAAAGAGCAGGGTGTTTATGCCACGTGAAAGTTTCTTGATGAAGAAGATGGAAGGGAGGACGAAGTAGAAGTCAGGTCAATGTTCAGACCTAATAGGCCTGACCCAGCTCAGTAAATAGAAAGAAGTGTGTGTAAACTATGACGTGGGTTTAATTCTAAAACCAACAGGTTAAACTTAAAACAATGATGACTTGCTAGATGATTTATTATTTAATTAAGGGAGCTAGTGTACATTTCTGGAATTCAAGGACAAAGCAAACTCAGTAAGAATATATGTGCATGTTTTATCCAGGGGTTAGAAACCACTAGGTTTGCTAGTGCTCTCAAGTATGGAAAATATGTCATAAGAATGGAAGTTATCCATTGGTTAAAAACCAAGAGGCTTGCTAGCGCTGTCATAATGGGAATAATAGTACAATATTCCTCACAATGGGAAATTATAGTAATTGATTTGTATGTGGGGATTTTACCAAGTTCTGTTAATTGCTTGGCTGAGATGGATAGAAGAAGCTCTAAAAAAGAAAGGTTAATAGAAAAACTATAATTGATGGACTAGGAAAAGACAGGAAAGAACTGCATGTGGGTGTGTGGAAACTTGTGTTGATAAGGATGAATTTTTGGCAACAGTTTTAGTTGACAGGGAATACCTAGAAGTAGATATCACATCTGATTGTGCTTCCCTTTGAGCATTTGATTTGTGATGCAGGGGATTAACGCGAAATTTAAAGTTTGTGCATTTGATATGAAGTTTATTGCAATTATTAACATATATTCCAAGTGCTGCAATTGGGGTCATGCTTTGGAACTTTTCAATAAAAGGGAAGGATGGAACTCGATCACTTTCAACTATGTGATTGTCAATTTCAATTTGAAAGCATAGAGCGAGGGAGTTTTTGGCGTGTATCAGTGAAAGGAAAGTGAAGCATCACCAATTTAGAACTCCCTGATCAATAGATTTAAACAACCAAGGATCCATGTGGAAGATTTTGACTACATTAAGAAAATGAGGTGATTAGTGTGGCTGCATTTGCAAATTCTTGTTAGCCTTTTATTAGTGTGTCCACTGGTGTTGCAAAATGGCAAAGAGATACATGAGTTTGCATTGGAATCTTTAGTGGATGGAAACAATATGTTGGCAACTGGTTTGGTTTAGTGGTATATGAAATTTGTGCATGCTTTTGGGAATTTGGGGTCTTTGTCCAATATTTTCCTTAACCAGATGGCCTTGATTTTTGGAATGTTGTGATGGGAGATATGGAAGAAATGGAGACTGAGTTTGCTTTTGAAATGATTTCTTGGAATTCATCAATTTTGATCTAACAATGATGGGACCCAAGGAAGTCCAATATTCCCATGGTAGTTATTGGTTTTAAATATTAATGGAGAAATTCTCCCTAAATCTATGGTTTGCATAATTTGGTACATGACGGAGAGAAGATTTGGTCCTCAATCATTTGGGTGCGACTTAAGTTGTATACCATAGAGGGAATTTTGTTCCTCAGGCTTTTGGGTGCAATTGATATTTGGTCTCCGGTGTCTTCAATGTCTCGATTGCTATTTTGTTCCTCAAGCAAAAAGAGTAATAAAAATCACTTCCTAATTTGAGGACATGGTTGTTTATAAGAAGGTGACATTAATAGGACCCATTAAGAGAAAAATCCAAATAGAGAGAGGCACTGTTATCAAATATCCGCAATTGTGGCGCTATGGCGGACATACATGGTGGTTTACGGGCTCGCCGCAATGGTAAATATCGGTCGATATTGCGGATTTTTCTGCCATAATCCGCTATAACGGTGCCACAAAGGGTCCAATATGGTGGGATTTTGGCTCTCTGCCATGGACAACACTGAGAGGGGGATGCTGAGCTGGTAAGTTAGTTATAGATAGTGAAAGGTGTTACAAGTGAGACGGAGTATATGGTGTGTGTGAGAGAAAGATGAATGAGATTCAATATCATCTTGTACTAGAACCTTAGGATTGGGTATAGGGAGAATTTCTTATTCCTTCAAGGAGCTTTGCTACATGATTACCAACCATCCACAAAACCTTATCTCACTAAGTGGGATTGGTTACGTGGATCAAATTCTGCCATATTGTTCTATCCAAGACTATGTTTCTATCCAATTCGTTAATCTTGAGATCTTTCTTCATAGTTTCTCTTATAGTTTTTTTAGGTTTTTCTCTATCTCTAGTTGTTTGATTTCTCTCCATTTGATATATTCTCCTTACAACAAAATCTACAGGCCTTCTCTCTACATGCCTAAACCACCTAAGTCTATTTTCCACCATCTTTTCTATTATAGGTGTTACCCCGACACTCTCTAATATTGTCATTTCTAATCTTATCTCGTTTAGTCTTTTCACACGTCCAATGCAATATCCTCATCTCTGCTACACTTTATTCTCATGTTGATTTTTAATTGGCCAACATTTTAACCCTTCCAAGATTAGAGATCTTATTGCTCTCCGATAAAATTTTCACTTCAGCTTGAGCGGTGCTTCACATGAAACCCATGATGCCTTCCTCCATTTTAGCCATCCAACTTGAATTTTTGATTGTTTACGTTTCCTTCTATTTCTCCTTCGCTTATATTACGGACCCAAAATATTTAAACCGCGTGATTTGTGAGATGATGTGGTCTCCAAATTTCACCTATGGATTAGAAACGCTTCTCCTTTTGTTGCACTTACATTTCATATACTCCGTCTTAATTCTGTTTAGACAAAAACAATGTGTTTCTAAGGCTTGTCTCCAAGTCTTCAACCTCTCATTTAAATCCTTTTTAGACTCCAAGTAGGACTATATTATTTGCAAGGCACACAAAAATGTTTTAAAACAAAAAACAGTTTTCTATTTTCTTGTTAGCATTTTCTATTGATAAACTTTTATTTTCTTCTTGTCTGTCCAAAATTCTGCTTGACTACTAATTTTTTTAATACTAGTGAGATTTTTAGTTTTGGTTTTTCACATTTTGGTAGAATTTGTGATTTTTGAATTGCACGCTCAAGTTAAATTTGTACTTGTATACAACTTGAATCATGCTTGCTATCTTCTCCGTGGGAGCATGACCAATGTGTCAAGGTTCATAAATGGAATTTCTAACTGTCAAAAAAACACCTGCTATTTTGTACGATTATTGATATCCTTGTAGTGCTAACTGATAACTCCTCTTGAACAAACTACTTTGGGATTTTAAAGCCTAGTTATAATAAAATGTTATCCTTTTCTTTTCCAGAGAGGAGCGATGACGGCAAGGGAAGTATGTGATGGATTAGGTCTCTTTGATCTCAAGAATAGAAAATGGCACATACAAAGCACTTGCGCACTTAGAGGCGACGGCCTTTATGAGGGTTTGGACTGGTTGTCCTCAACACTAAAAGAGATGAGAGCTGCTGGATACTCTTCATTAGGACTAGGAACTTCATCTTTCTAGTTTTCCGGGTTTGAAATATCTTCATCTTTCGATCATGAATTAACTATCTATTTATCATATTACATTTTAATGTGTATTCTTATTCTCTTGTAGGTATTTTGGCTTTGTGATTTTGCGATTGGTGAATGAGCAACTGTGACTGGCAATCAAGTTCTCTGGGTTTCATCTGGAGCGACGAAGAATATAGTTACTTCGCCTTTCAGGGTACATAAAGATATGTGACTTGCTATGATTATAGAAGTTTGTACATGTCAAATGATTAACTAAATTCTGTTACTGTATTGATACCCCACGTTAAGTGCATGAATATTGGATAGAAAGTTGGATACCGGCCGAACCAGTTGCTTATTCTCCCTTGATTACCCTCATCTTATTTGAATGTTATATCTGGTGCCTTGATTCATAAAATTTATGATTCTGGGATTTTGCCACAATTTTCTGTTATGTCGCGGCAATGTGTTGTGTGTTCGCGGTTACTTCATTTTTTTTTTTTGTCTATTGGAATACTTTGTATATTTGTACCCTTTCACGTTTATAGAAATCAGCATCAATTTGGCTGTCTTTTTGTCAAAATGAAATCAGCATATTTGGCCGAAATTATATCCATGAAAATGCGAAACTGGCTTTCCCGACCACTGCCGGGGCTCTCTCTGCCGCCAGCCACAGTTTCTTTCCCTCTCTTGCTCTTTCTGCTCTTTTTCTTGAACAATCTCTTGCATATTCTCGTTCTCTATTTGTGATTAGTGTAAAAAATTGATTTTGGATTCAAAACTAATTTTTTGATTTTCTCATTCTCTCGTGAAATATATATATATAAAATCAAGATTATACAAAAACAGCGCAAAAACGGACAACAAACTTTGTCATTTAGAATAAACCACCGTTTAGAATTCGATCTCTGATTTATGTTAGAAATTGAAGGATTTGTGCATGCATTTATTTGCGTTTGTGAAATTCCAAAAAACGATGTCTGTACAAGAGATTTGCATTTTTGAAATGCAAAAAACGGATTTGATCTCTCATTTGTTTTGAAGCTAAATCAAAAAGTGTTAAACTAGTTTACTGGAATAAAAAAACTGTTTACCGTTTTTAAATATTACTTCCCTCTCATGAAAGTGTCTCGTTTTGCAACTTTTTTTCATGTCTTAAAATAAATGTTTTTTTAAAATATCAATATAATATTTATTATTTTTGTCCACTACTATATTCCTATTTATTAATTTTTAAAATTTTAACTACTACATTAATTATAATAAATAAAGATATTTTTGTAAAATATACCAATTTTATCATTAAAATCAACACATCTAATCATTTTTTAAGAATCGTGCACAACTCAAATAAAATATTTATTATGAGACCGAAGAAGTATATAGAGTGGTTTTGTAATTTTATTGAGGAAATTTTTTAATGCATTTTATGTATTTCTAGGGTACCAAGTGGAAATACAGAAAAGTCTTTAGATTTCGGAGATGCATTTTCGAACTCACCCTAAGTCAATAGAATTATGTTTTAATGTGAAAAACTACGGAGATGCATTTTCGTGTATATTTCGAAAATGCATCTTCGAACGCTATTTGTTTAAAATGCGGCAGAACTCCTTCTTTTTCACTTCTAAAAATAATTCTAAATCTTTCTTAAACTCTCTCAACTCACATTTTCTCAAAATCAATCAATCAAGTTCGAAGCTTCTCCCATAGACATCAAGTACAACAAAAAACTCATTCAACATTGAAGTAAACTCACAATTTATAAGTTTTTTATTTTTGTAAGTTTTTTAATTTTTATATAACTTTGTAGAAATTGATGATTAGGTATTGAAATATATAGTTTATGCATGTTTGATAGTTGATACATTACGAAAAATGTTTTTAATAGTTAAAATTAACGATTAATGCATTATTTTTGGGGGTTTGGAGGTCTGCATTACCGTCATTGACGAAGATGAAAGTTGCATAAAATTTCAGAGATCTATCTTCGTAATTTTTTTAATGCATTATAGTTTTTGTATAAGTTGCATAAAGTTTTTAACGTTTGAGGGTCTGGATTCCATAATTTATTGGTCTTTTTTTTTTCTTTTTCTTTTCTTACTTTTAGGGTTGTTTGTAGTAATTGTGTAACACTTGTCTAGTTTACTTACAGGCATTGTCCGGAGAAAAAAGAGCCAGATTTCGGAGGTTCGTGTTCCCTCTAACACAGTTCATTCGGAGACGTCGACTTCTAAGATTCATATATTTTCACCTTTTTTCTTCTTGTAGGAGACGAGTCTTACCTAGTGAAACATCACTGCTTTCATCTTTCCGTAGGAGACAGGTCTTACCTATTCAGGTGCTAGAGATACCCAAGTCACCGGAGGTACATGAGGCACCATTGTCACCCAAGGCACTAGAGGGACCTAAGGCTGATGAGCTAGTGCCACCTCAAGTTGAAGAGGTTGATGAGACAGTGCTACCTCAGGTATTTGGAGAAGGCTCTCTAGAGTTGTTACTACTGCCTTTTTATTCGGACCATACTGCAGGACATATTTGAGATGTAGAGGTAAAATTAGATGGATTCATTCTTTTTAAATTACGTTTACTATTATATTACATGTTTTCGACGATGATTTATTTTTCTATAAGACCTTGATCCGCTGAAATTTATTAACCATGGACGGAAGATTACTGACTTGCATCAGCCCAATGACAAGTGGTTTCAAGTTGTTTTGTCCATATCTAGGATGAAGGACTTATGCAAGATCGATTATGTTACGACGAGCCACATAATGCTTAATGCATTTTTGGAGAGATGACACACTGAGACCTCGTTATTTCATCTACCACTCGGTGAGATATCTATCACACTCGGTGATGTGTTGTGTCTGCTGCATCTTCCGATTATGGAGAAACTTTTAGATCATGAGAGGATTAGTAAAGATGGGGCACTCGGGTTGATGGTACACTATCTGAGAGTTGACTAGAGGCTACCTTGAGGGAGATGGAAAAAATAGAGGGGTTCATGCTAGGTTTGAATTCCTGAAAAAAGGTATATACATATGAGCTCCTCAGATAAGAGCAGGCTAGAGGTGATGACAATCAGATGGGGCTGCATAAAACGTATGCTATGAGAGCACACATGTTATATTTAGTTTGCATTGCCATTTATGTGGACAAGATTGTCATTTATGTGGATGTCGTCTATCTATGGTACTTTGAGAGGATCCATGAGTACAACTGGGGGTCCGCTTGTTTGGTCTACTTATACTCTAAGTTATTCGAAGGTTGTAGGTGGAAGACGAAGTAGGTGACATGCAACATCACACTTTTGACGGTAATATATATTGGTCTTTTAGTATTTATGTGTCATTTTCATTACATTTTCGCAATCCCTTTACTGATGATTTGTGTGTTCCAACACTTTTCAGGCTTGGATCCTCCAACACTTTCCACACATCTTTGACTGGTCGTGTGTACCAAACTATACTGAGTATATATTGTGCATTTATGCATTTCCCCTACTCAGAGGGAACCAGACGATAGAGTTGTTACAAGTGTATCTTGGCCACTTGGTAGCCGAGGATATGCACTTTAACAGCTATGTCAATCATCGTGAGACGTAACCATTTGACGATATAGTATTAGACTCAGGATGGTTGGCTTACATTTCTCGTCTAACATTTCCTCATCTGCCTGAGCGCGTCATGCGGCAGTTCGGTTACACCCAGACTATTTTCAGGTGCCCTGTTGTCTCTGCTGCTTCTGCTATAACACGTAAAGATATGAATGTCATGTTTGATGATTATCTTAGTCATCTGGTACCAGAGGAGGCACATAGTACCATAGCTAAGAGCGATTGGAGCTATGTAGACAGGTATATTAGGTGGTTCTTTAGGATGTCACATCCATATATGGTGCATGCTGTTCTAGGAGATCCACCGATGCCATATCATCTAGAGATACTAGAGGAGGAGCAGACACGATTAGATCATGCTCGTGATGTGTTGCATAAATATCGTCACATTGTGGAGATTGCGCAGGAAAATGTTGATAGAGGTATCTTTCCTTATGGTTCTGAGGTGAGGGAGGTCCTAGATGCCATTATAACGGAGGCACGAGGGGCACTGATGTACCTGAGATAACATAAGAGGACGGGGGCAGAGGAGGCAAAGAAGCTCTAGTTTGACATATGTAGTAGTTGATAGTATTTATACTTTGAATTTATTATTGATTCTATTTTATTTTGACTTATTTTGACTTTATTGTGTACTTTGACTTTATTGTATATTGGCTGATGATTTATTTTGACCATCTGAATTTATATATGTCATTTTTTTGTATATCGATTGTATGGTTTAATGCTCATGACATAACAGGGGACTTAACATTTATAAATCGTCATTTTCATTTAAGTAACCATAAAACTAACTTAACTTGCACTGTTTTGATAGGTTACAGAGATGCATATCTATAAACCTTAAACAAAGATGCATCTCCGAATCAATAAATGTTTAAAATGGGTCTTTTGTGTGTTTTAAAATATTTCAGAGATGCATCTCTGGATCAGTTATAATGTTTTGACTTAAGATAAGGTGCGTCAGGAGATGCATCTCCAGAATCTGAGGGGCATTTTTATTTTTCCATAGGGTGTGTTTTCCACCCCATAGGGTGGGATAAGAAATCCTCTTTATTAATTAGGCTAAAATTTAAAATATGGAACATTATGGTTATTGATTTGAGTGACTTCCTTTTCCATCCTTCAATTCTCTTTGAATCTTTTCGATTTATGAAAAGGGTAATACTCCCCAAGAATGACACTTATCTCCTTTTTTCTGAGTTTCACCTTAGTTTTTGAAAGAAAAAAAAGTCCGGAGACGCATCACCTAAATACCCCATGAACTCATTTATGGTTTTATTATTAACACAAATGATTTAAATAATAATTCAGTGATATTTTCGAAGATGCATATCTGGAAATATCCAACGGAAAAATTGATAAAACACCACCTTGCATGAGTTTCTTCC